GCCTTTGAGGGTTGAGGGCCCCAGTCTAGGGAGGAGGAATGACTGGCCCTCAGTTACCCAGTAATGTGCCAAGAGGAATCATTTCATACTGCTGTGACACTGGAAGGCCATGTCCGTGAGGCGGGGCAGAGATTACATGCTGTTTTTACTGTCGCTGTTTTTAGCAAATATACTTAATAGCCAGGCATGGTGGCACGTGCTGGTAGTCCTAGCTACTCAGGAGGCTGAGGCGGGAGGATCACTTGAGCCTGGGAGGTTGACGCTTCAGTGAGCTTTCATCAGGCCACTGCACTTTGTCTCTAAAAAAACTAAAACTAAAAATAAACAAAAAACAAATACACTTAACAAAAAAGTAGGTCAAGTAGGTCAAGTCCACTGGCTCGCGCTTATATTTTCAGCACTTTGGAAGGCCAAGGTGGGAGGATCACTAACAGCCAGAAGTTCGAGACCAGCCTGGGCAACATAGTGAGACTCTGTCTCTACAAAAATGTTTTTAAAAAAAAATAGCCAGGTGTGGTGGTGCAAGCCTGTAGTCCCAGCAACTCAGGAGGCTGGGGCGGGAGAACCCTTGAGCTTGAGCCCAGGAGTCAAGGCTGCAGCGAGCTATGATCATACTCCTGCATTCCAGCCTGTGTGACAGAGTGAAACCTTGTGTTAAAAAAGTTATATCCACACAATTCACTTCTGTGGAATATCTCACGTTCTGATACCACTGGGTGGAAAAGGCGACGTGTAACCAGCCAGGCAGCCTGCTGGAAAATGGGCCACCCAGCTCTACGCTCACCGATGTGGGGGCTGGCAGGGTCGCTGGCTCGCATGTATCGAGGGGTGTCTTCCTCCAGCAGGCGGTGAGTCACCAACCCTGTGCAGCTCTGCAAGAGGATGGGCTGGGTGTCATTTTCAATCCCTTCCAGGCGCCTGGCAATTCTTTCTTTTCTGTGAGATACACAGAGGCAGAGTGAGCAACAGCGATCGAGTCTAAAGGAAAGCAGAATACTGCTTTGCCAAGCTCTCTTCTATTTCCTAATTCCCACTATAAAGATCTTACCTTTTCATTTCTAAGAATTCTTTTTTCTTTGGTTCAAAGATTTGTCTTAATTCTGCAACTAGAAGAAAACCAAAAAAGAACAAAATATAGTATTAGTAGTCATGCGCTCATTTTATTCACTCATGCAACATCTTTATTGAACTGCAAATTTCAGTTCTTGGTTCCTATGTAACAGTGACATGCAAAACTGACCAAGTTCCTGCTTTCTTGGAGACTGTTTCCTAGTAGGGGAGGCAGATGCCAAATGAATAAGAGTGTGTGCACGCGCGCACACACACACACACACACACACACAAGGATGCATCATTCTCTTCTAAGGTCAAGTTGAATATTTGATGCTCATAAAAATGACTGAGTTATCAAGGCAAAGTGAAGTCATGCTCACTCAACATAGTGTACAATATGAAATAAATATGTAATCCATTTAAAATTACGTACATTAAAATAATTTAAATAGAATGCTTTGTTGTATATACATTGCAACACCTATATAGGTGACTCATGTAAATGTCACATATATAGATTGGCTAAGAAGTAAAATACAGGGTAAAGGAGAAGGTTTTATTTCATCTAGGGGAATCCAGGGAGACCTGACGAGCAACGTCTCTCTAGGAAAGTATTTTAGGGAGAAATCTCAATAACTGTTTCTAACTTTTGTTTGGTTTAACAAAGTATGGTAAGCTTTTACTACGGAAATTATTTACAGAAGCATAGACTAGGAGTGTGAACCCCACAGGGCCATCCGCAAGCTACAAGCATGAACTCACAGCGGCTCCTCCTCCTCCCTTTCATGGAATCTGTCAATGGCTGTAACTATCTGATTGTTTCCCACAGTGCCTAAAGTGGCCGCTTCAATTAGCTACAGTTTAGATGAACACAGGTCCTCTGCCTCCCTGCACAGGCTTTTGCTGGAAGGAAATGTTAACAGTGGTTTCCTTGCTATAATTTAGGTGGATGATGGGCAAGGTAATTACCCCAATGTTTCTGGCAGCATTGGAGAAACAGAACAAACGATGTGCTAAGGATGGGAGGTTCTCACATGACACTGACCACCAGCATATTACTGAGATGCCAGACAACTGTTTCTTTGGAGAAATGGCCAAAGTTCATGGAGAATAAAGATCTCTCTTTTTGCCTCCTCCTCAATAGCTTAAATTAATAAGGGTACATCTGAGTGACTCCTATGAAAGACTCAGAATGGGGTGGGAGAAAGAGAGAGGGGTGGCCGGACAGCCCGGGGCCAGGGCCAATGAGAAGTTTTGAAAGGCTGAGTCACAGGAGAAACTCAAAGGAATTTGGTTTTCGACTGCTTCAATTTCCTTTTTCTTTTCTCTAAGTGGTAATTTTTAGTAATGAGTCAAAACTACACACACACATACGCACGCATACACACACAAAGTTTCATATTGCCCTTTGTGTTCAGGGATTGAAGCCTTGTTTTTCTTCATTTATTTTTAAGTGATAGCCATCTTAAAACTTCAGTTGAATTGGCTTTTGTTAGGGTAGCTGGCTTCGTAGAAACAAAACCTCTCTCCCTCTGACTTCAAAAGGTCTCCCAGTTGGCCTCCCCAGGAATCAGCGTAGCTGGAGGCAGAGAAGTCCTCGTTCTAATTATGTTGCTATTTAGAAGACAGGGGTATAGTGAGAATGGTGCACCCTGCCATGCGGCCTTGGGAGAGGAGGCTTGGTCAATAACAACAGCTTCCCTGTCAACAAATTAGCCCTAGTGAGATTATGGTGATAAAACTTTAACGGCTGATAGGACATATTTTCAAAATATTTTCAAGGATGACAAAAACCAAAGGGTTTTATTTAATTATTTAAACCCCAAAGAGAAGAGTGGAGCCCTGTTTTTCAAAAGACCACTCAAGGAGCTATCGAAACCAAATTCCAAGGGTGCCTAAAAGGTACAACTGGAACCCATACCTCAAACCCCAACTGAGAAATAGAAAATATTATTAGGGTCCTGAGTAGCATAATCACACCCCCTCCTCTCCCCTCCCTTCTCCTTCTCTTTCTTTTCTTTGCTCCCCTCTCTCTTTCTTTTTGAGACAGGGTCTCATTCTGTCACCCAGGCTGGAGTGTAGAGACATGATGTCAACTCACTGTAGCCTCAACTTCCCAGACTCAAGTGATCCTGCCAACTCAGCCTCGCAAGTAGGTGAGATTACAGGCACGTGCCACCACGCCTGGCTAGCTTTTGGCTGTTTTTTGTGGAGATGGAGTTTCGCTATGTCATCCAGGATGGTCTTGAACTCCTAGGCTCAAGGGATCTGCCCGCCTCGGCCTCCCAAAGTGCTGGGATTGCAGGTGTGAGCCACCGCACCTGGCCTAAAATGTCCCTTTTCTCACCCCACGTTATTTCAACTGGATAAGTCATCAAAACCGTTAATACGCAGAGTATCATGTAACTTCCACTGGAAAAAGTTAAGATAGACTTTTCTTAGTTCTAATTAGAGACTGTTGAAAATCACTTTCATTTCATCCAAGTTTTAATTAATTTAACAATTTTTCTATAGAAATGCAACTAAAGGCACTTTAAAAAAGATTACAACAGTGCATGGAAAAGCAAAGCAACATGTTGCTTCCTGCAATTCTCGATTTCCCGTATTCCAGAAGGAAAGGTCTAGTTGGGAGATTGTGCAAGCCTCCCGTCCACAGGAAAGGCAGACTTTCCCACTGCCCTTCCAGGGAACACTGCCCCATGATAGCCATCCACTTCCGGGCATAAGACAAGAAATTCTCAGGACAGGATCTCGCAGACACACAGATGGACCTCATCGGCGTCATGGGCTCAGGAGGCTGGCTCTGGAGAGCTCCCAGATCACTATGGGAGTGCTAATGGCTTCTGAGTGGGAAGTGGCCTTGCTGTGAGCTCTGTACCACAGGATGTTGAATGTCCCAGGTTCTCCTAGGGATGCTAAATCACCCCCAGTTGCTGCGACACAAAAATATCCTCATATATTTCTAAAGCCCCTTAGGGACTGCCCTAGATTGAGAACCATTGAGAATCACTGATCCCCCAGTATTAGAATTTCAAATACACAGCCTGTGCCTTAGACACCCAGGCCCTAGGTTACACAGCACAGACGCCACTAGCCCAGCATTGCACTCTTTTCAGTCAAGCCCAGATTCAACGCAAAGCTATGCCAAGCCTATTGCTCCTGGAAGCTAGAATCCATCAACATAGTGGGTACTTGAAGGGACACCTTAGGGTCCTCTCTGATCATTCACTGAGGAATTAAATGAGCTCATAAATTAAATTGTCCTTTAAATGTATTGGTGAGCTTATTACTTCTTAGTGGAAATCTATAGTGAATTTTTAAAGGAAAATAAAAAAGTCTCTCTAGAAAACAAATGATGTCCTCTCAGTCTATTCTTTCTAGCAAATATATTTTTAATTACCAACATATGCCTCATTCCTATAGAAACGGGATTTTAAGAAATGAGGTACAAGACAAAAAGAAGCAACAGAGAGACATTTGGAGTTTTGCCTCTTTTCCCCAAATCTATACTAACATGTAATATAATTAGTGTGTAACTAATGTGTATTATATTACATATCTGTTTTATATTATTATTCATAATAATAGCCAGGCATGGTGGATCGTGCCTGTAATCCCAGCACTTTAGGAAGCTGAGGTGGGTGGATCACTTGAGGTCAGGCGTTTGAGACTAGCATGACTAACATGATGAAACCCTGTCTCTACTAAATTTACAAAAAATTAGCTAGGCCTGGTAGCATGTGTCTGTAATCCCGGCTACTCGGGAGGCTGAGGCAGGAGAATTGCTTGAACCTGGGAGACGGAGGTTGCAGTGAGTCAAGATTGTGCCACTGCACTCCAGCCTGAGTGACAGAGCATGATTCTGCCTCGAAATATATATATATATATATACACACAAAATATGGTTTATATGTGTTATATTATTATATAAACCAAGTTTTATATTATTTTATATTATTATAAATCATATAAAACATGTTTTTGTACTATTATTAGCATAAAGCCAGTACTAAAAACATCATGCATGAAAGTCACCATTGCTGTGGAAATCTGTGTTGTAACTCTGTTGTTTTATTTATAAAGCCTACCTACAGTTCTACCAAAGTTACCTTCTGATCGATAATCTTGAAGGTTTCTGTTCTTTTAAAACTTCAAAAAAATTTTTTGTAATATCAGACGTACAGAAAATGTAAGAGATATCCTTCACAATACGTTAACATTTTACTACATTGGGTTTATTTTTATTCTTTTTTTCTCTCTCTTAAGTATATTTATATGTGCATATATGTCTGTGTACATACATATATAATATTTTTTTCTGAACCATCTGAGTCAATTGCAGCATGAGGCCCCTTTATCTCTAAATTCTTCAGTGTGCATTTCTTAACAAAAAAGAATAAGAATGCTCTTTAAAATTAGGTTCACCAGCTATAATTCAATTGATTATATGCTGTGTCATAATTATAATTAATATATGGTTCATGTTTAGTAATAGTAGTTATTATGCAATCCAGATATAAATAAGCATCGATGGTCTAATTTCCATTATAATAAGACATTTTCTACTTTGCTTTCAAATACATTAGGGCTTCTAAACATATCCGCCTGTCCCTTGTTTTACCTGCTATGTTGGTCTGTTACTCTTCTCTGAGTGATTCGGAGTGGTACCACTGTGGCAATATGGACTCTATGAGTCTATTTCTTTAGTTATTTCTAATGGGAGCTGGAGGTTAGTTTTCAAGTAAGGCGATTTAAGGAAATTTGACAGCAGAGCTGTAATACTTCATAAGTTATTTACAACCACCTACTATGCTTTGCAATAAGACTATATAACACCAATATTCTGGACAATTTGGTCTGCAGGGTGCTTTTCTTAGGAAACAGTTTATTCCCTTAGCTCTAAGAAACAGACGGTTTCTGGTTAAGACATTGTTGAGTTCAGTCCTCCAAACTTGAGCACAGTAGAACCTTCCAAAGAAATATAAGTGGCAGGGTACTGCCAAGAACGCTTCTCTCCTCCTTCACGCGACAGCCCAAGAGCCCAGGCCAGATC